AAACCTAAATAATTATCTAGGAGTCAGAATCTGAATATCAAACATCATGTCATCAAAGAGGTGGAACAGATGAGTGTAAAACCTAAATAATTACCTAGAAGTCAGAGTCTGAATATCAAACATCATGTCATCAAGGAAGTGGAACAGGTGTGTATAAAACCTAAATAATTACCTAGAAGTCAGAATCTGAATACATGTATCAAGCATCATGTCATCAAGGAGGTGGAACAGGTGAGTATAAAACCTAAATAATTACCTAGAAGTCAGAATCTGAATACATGTATCAAGCATCATGTCATCAAGGAGGGGGAACAGGTGAGTGTAAAACCTAAATAATTACCTAGAAGTCGGAATCTGAATATCAAACATCATGTCATCAAGGAGGTGGAACAGGTGGGTGTAAAACCTAAATAATTACTTAGAAGTCAGAATCTGAATATCAAGCATCATGTCATCAAGGAGGTGAAACAGGTGGGTGTAAAATCAAAATAATTACCTAGGAGTCAGAATCAGAATATCAAGCGTCATTTCATCAAGGAGGTGGAACAGGTGAGTGTAAAACCTAAATAATTTATTTCATGTACATGTATTTGACCTTAGTCTTAAAAATTATGATTTTACAAGAGTATGTATTTCAAAAATGATGGTAATACCTAATACCAAACCTTTCTTTTTTAGTATATCCCGGAACACTGTGTTTTTGCCTCTAACACATCAGCTTTACCTATAGCTCAGATTGCCAAGGCCAGTCTTCGACCAGAGAAGGTTATAAAAGATTATATCAAATTACCCAACCTGTTGATTTTGCATAGATTTAATGACATCTCAATGATACATATATCTCTTCCACTGATAACTGTAGGTCATTGGAATGCACTACTTTTCACCTGTAGAGAAAATGCAACTCTTGGAAATTATCACCACACCAGAGACCTCAAAAGATACTGTTGGTAAGCTAACGTGAAAAATTCAATTGTATAAAAACAGTAACACCAAAAAAGAATTAATATTTTGAATAGATCTTAATATTTCTAATGGATGGTGTTAACTGCTGCTATGGAGATTGTAAATCATTGTGAGGTTGATTTTTTAAAAGTTATGTAGGTCATTTAGAACAAAAAAAATTGTCAAGGAAATTTTTCAATGGAGATTTTTTACGGTAACACATGTGTATGGTATTCTTGAAAGTTGTTTTCTTATTTAGTACTTAGAAGTAGAAAGATATTTTTATTTTTAAGCCACCGCTGTTGATGTGGGGCTCCGTCAGGGGAAATTGGTCATCATTGTTGGTGATGGTCCAGGCTTCTACACGACCAGAATCCTGGCTCCTATGTTGGCTGAGGCTGTTCGACTCCTACAGGTGAGTAGAGTGTGATGTCTGGGTACACAATTGTGTTAGAAAATGAAATGTATTGTAATTTAAGAAAATAAAATAAAGTACCAAATTTTTATCTCTTAGCTTGCTCCATTAGTAAACTTATTTATAACATACATATACATGTGCACGACATTTACAATTACTTCAAACTGTTGTAATCCTGAACCAAGCACTTTCTGAGTGCAGACTTTCTGTTTATGAATATTAGGCATTATGAAATAGTTTCTTGTACATGTATTGATATGAAAAGCTATGAAGAATGAGTTACATGAGACAAGTAAATTGTTCAAGTAAACATAGGACAAACACACCTTACAAAGAGAGGTAGAGTGTACTTTAAGATTGTCTGTACCTGTATGATTATTTCTGTAGGAGGGTGTCAGCCCACAGAAGTAGAGTATACTTTAAGATTGTCTGTACCTGTATGATTATTTTTGTAGGAGGGTGTTAGCCCACAGAAGTAGAGTGTATTTTAAGATTGTCTGTACCTGTATGATTATTTCTGTAGGAGGGTGTTAGCCCACAGCAGCTGGACAAGGTAACCACAGGCTTTGGTTGGCCAGTAGGAATGGCAACACTGGCCGATGAAGTGGGCATTGATGTGGCAGCTCATGTGGCCGAGGATCTTGGGAAGGCTTTCGGCAGTCGCTTTGGAGGAGGTGATCCTGCCGTCCTGAAAGAAATGGTAGCAGCTGGGTGTTTAGGTCTGTGTTGATTGTTTTTAGTGGAGAAATGAGTATTATGTTATGATATTATGTTATACTTCTTGTTCATTTAGAGCATTCTTCATTTAATTGACATGATATACATGTATATATGTTTTAAGCCCTTTATTCAAAAAGTTTCTCAGTACACAAATTACAAGTACAAATAAGTATGAGACTGGTACTGATAGGGAAAGACTAAATATTTGTGTATTGAAACTGATAGATACACAGGCATTTCTACTCGTTTACAGGTAGGAAATCAGGCAAAGGATGTTTTGTGTATGATCCAAGTAAAGGCAAAAAGAAGGGAAAAACAGAAAACATGGAGGCCCTAGCAATTCTTAACAGACACCGACTAGCTCCGACAGAGGCGTAAGTTGGGGAGAATTTATGGATTACTTACTTACTTATCCTCTTCCTGACCAGAGGATGCTGTTCAACAAATGATACCACCTAAGACAGTCACTGACAGAGTTTATGGATATTTTTAATTTTATAAACTTGAACCATATTAAGATATTTTATTTTTATTTACATACAATTACAGAAAGTTTGCTATAAAATTCAACTTGATAAATTGCAGATGGAAAATGTAGGTTTTATGGTAATATCACCCTTTCAGTCTTTAATTTAGTTGGTATGTTGTATTTTTACAGAAATTCAACAGAGGACTACCAATACAGACTGTTCTCACGATTTGTCAATGAAGCTGTGATGTGTCTACAGGAGGGAATTCTCACAACACCCGTAAGTTTAACTACACCAGGAGTAGCACTGTCATTAATCATAATTGATAAGAAAGTCTGATGATGAACTTTTAACACTGTCTAACTTGCCCATTATCACTAAAAAGTAACAGTAATTTTATTGAAGGAACTCTTCTTTATTTTCTGAAAATTTACATTTTATCACATTTATTAATATAATCTTGTGTGAAAGCATTTGTACATACATTGTAAATAGGTTCAGCATATTTTGAGGGGATAATAATTTTATCTTGCAACTCTTAATGTGACTTTAGTCTATATGCTAGCATTGTGAATTCTCAGATTTACATTGTGTAGTATGTATTCTTTAGATAAATTGGGACCAGCTTGGGACATGTATTACTTTTTACATGTAGCTGGATATTTTTGCAGGGATATAATTTTGGTCGATTTTGATGATTTTTAAAGATTCACCAAAATAAAAATCATGAATTCAGGTTCTATATGTGTATACATTTGAACTTGCTCTAGGTGTTGCTTGAGATGTGTATTTGGTTTCATAGGAAAAATGCACGCCTTTGTAATGTTAGATGAAATCATTGTTACCTTCATACTTAAGAACATATTTTTTGCCACAGCTCGTAGCAGATATTATATTCACAATAAAAAATGCATCCCAAATAAATGGAATAGGATTCACCAAAATCAAACTTGCAACTCCCCCCCCCCCCCCCCCCCCCCAAAGAAAACGGCTGTACGGTATAATCTACAATACATTGTCCTTCAAAAATGTTTATTTGAAAGTAGATTAATTCTTTAGCACTCAAAGCATTATTATTTTTAGGTGGAGGGTGATATTGGAGCTGTATTTGGACTTGGATTCCCACCATTTTTCGGAGGTAGGCATCATAAAATCGCAACCCTACGTTGTGTTTTTTTCCTGCTTAGATTTTAATGTTTCTTAATAAGTAAATTGTCTTATAAGAAGCATTGATAAAATTGTTTGCCATTTACCATTATGTCATTGGTCTGTTAATTATTCCTAGGTCCATTCCGCTATGTTGACCTTCATGGCGCCGGACAATTAGTGGACAGAATGAGGCGGTATGAACAACTCTATGGAGAACAATTCACGCCGTGCCAGTTATTACTTGACCATGCTAAAGACTCTTCTAAGAAATTTCACCAGTCCAAGTGACCTCTAGATCTAGCATAATCAGACTTGAACAAGTGATGTCATGTGACATATCATGTCATGTGACATGTCATGTGACATGAATCAGGTCATCTATTGACATAGACATTGTGATATCTGTTCTCATTGAATTCTCATTACCTGTTTGATTGTTGGGAAAACTTCATATTATTTTGCATTATGACTGATCATATATTTATGAATAAAATTATTTATAAACATTAAAAGATTCTTCATTTTCTTTCCTAAGCTCACCTCAGCAGAGTGCGCTGGGAGGGTTGTGCAGTACTCTGGTATTTTCATGGTATCAGTCAGGATCCAAGAATATATACAATTTTGGGGGGGAAGCAAACTTGTCTGAATGAAGCATCATTTGATGCATAGTACTAGGGCTAGGTTCCAGATTGTAGTGGCTATATAGCTCTATGCACCTAGAGCTACAATCTTGATTGACATACTAGCCTGTCTTTGTTGTGATTGATGCAAGAATTACTTTTAGTGAATTCTATTTCAGTTTGTGTGTCATATGATATATGCATCCTATGTCCAAATTTTTGATTGTGTGAGTATTGTGATTTTTGTGCTATTTCATTTTTAAACTGTGACCCATATGCATGTATAAAAATATTTGATATAAATAATTCACTTATAGGGAAAGGGTGTATTAAGTTTTTAAAACTTTTGCCAGATCCCAGTTGTAAAAGACAATAAAATATGAGGAACATTTTTCATGAAGAAATATGTCCTGGTACCCTATTTTGAAAATGAACAAGATAATTACTCGGACCTTCATAGGACACAACTTTCTCAAAGTCCAAAAAACATTTTAGAGCTTCCTCAAGCATATTTATCCCAGTCTTTTTATTCTTAATGAAATTTGAAATTCGACTTTTAAATATTCTAAATGCACATCTGACCAAAAAAAAAAAAAAAAAAAAACACATACAAATAATCCGGACCCAGCTACGATATTGGTTTCGAATCCTAGATATATATCACATGGATCACATGATATTTTAATCACATGACTCAAAGATGGCAGCATCCAACTTGAAATGGTTTGTGTTCCTTTTTGCGTTTTCCTTCATCGGTGAGTAAATAATCCTGAAGGAGAAAGATATTTGTTTAAATACATGTGTGTAATTAAGTGAAATATTTTCTTAAAAAAATTACCATATATGTCAGTTCATTGGATATACATGAAGTTGACATCTCGCTTTTTAAAAACATGCATACCTGCATGTACAGCCCTCTCTTTAGTTTGAAACTCTGACAGAGCTGAAGGGGTTAATAAATACACACTCATGTAAGGTACTTAAGAGATAGTGCAAGTCAGCAATACGATAACCGAACTTAACAGGTTATCAGGGACCTATTTATACTAGACTAGTATAGTTATTATGTAGGTCCCTGAGGTTATAAATTAATGTTCTTTAAAAATTATTTGATCATGATGATGTCTTTCCATGCCATTTCAAGAGAGACTGTCCAGTGTCCTGGCATACTAGTATTAGAACAGCTGAATAATGTCAAAATGTGTATACCTGGGAACGACTTTACTTTACCGGTCCCCAGAAAAACGCGCTAAAATATAGCTGTAGGCAAATTCAATATATATGAGATCGCGTGAGCGATTGGAAAAAAAAAAAGTAGGAGGTTTAAAGCCTTTTTGTCCCCAAAATCGAATTCTACGGTTAAAAGTTTAGTTTAAAACTTCGTTTTTAACTTCGTTCTCTGAAGAAAGTAATAAATATTGTTTATTCATTGAAAAGGAGACAAAAAATAATTGTTAACGAATTAAGCGCGTGCGGCGCATGCTTAGTGCCGTTTCTTTTGTACTAAGCCATTTTTTTCATGTAAACAAACCAACGAGATGTCGTTGAAGCTGAATTAAGATATTACAAAAAATACAGAAGCATCTGAATTTCCTAATTAATCTAAAAAAAAAAAACAAGACACTAACTCTAATCTCTCGGATGGTATGCGAGGACTAACACAAATCTCCCGGGCGGATGCTAGACTAACCCATGTGCGAGGACTAACCCTAATCTCTCGGATGAATGCGAGACTAACCCTAATCAGTCGAAAACTTGTGCAAGGACTAACCCTAATCTTTCAGGTGGGTGCAAGACTAACCCTAACTAGTCGAAAAATGTGCAAAACTAACCCTTATCAGTTGAGTGACATAAATCTTACGTCATAGTGCAATGAGCACGTGGATCTTGCGGATCTGGGGACCGGTAAAGTAAAGTCTACCCTATACCTGTATGTCCCAAATTTACTGAATACAAAATCACGTTATGATTATTTATATTTGATTTTGCATAGAACCAGGAGTACTTCACATATGCAATATTGTATTGTCTCAATTACTTGAATAAGCCAGGAACTCTAAATTTATCTAAAAGGAATCAAAACATCATTCTATTATATATTTATATAGATATTAAGCCATGACCTACCGGTACATTTTTGTAGTCTTAAATCGTAATGTATGTCTTGTGAAGTAAAGGTGAAAACAAGCAAATTTCCTCAATGTGATATTTAGATAGCCTCAAATTGAAAAATTTCCTTGTAATAGATATATAAATCAGGGAAAATGCATAATGCAAGATAAAATTGTGGGTATTATACTCTGTGATTTGAAAAATTAACTGAAGGTCTTGTGAGGGTATTTTAGTTAATGTAGTAATTTATGTTAAGGCTCATGTCTGGCAGTGGACAGTGTTCGACTAATGATTCTCGGGGACTGGGGAGGTCTTCCAACTCCCCCCTACCACACTGCCATAGAAATGGGTGTGGCCAAACAAATGTCTGTTGTGGCTAAAAAGTATGGTCCAGAAGCTATCCTGGCTCTGGGGGACAATTTCTATTACGATGGAATAAAAGATTCAAATGACAAAAGATTTGAGGTAATAAAATTATTTTCACTTTCAACTTTATTCTTAAAATAATGAGTCAAAAATAGGAAAAGTTACTAAAATAATTTCAGAGCTTTATTTATGGGTTGACAAGTGGTATATTAGGTACCATTAAGTCTTTGGACGATACACAGCAGTAAGACATATTACCTATCAATTATAAAATATGCATATCTTCTATCAATGTACTACATTGTATTAGTCTTGAAGAGTTATCCTTTTGTTTTTATACTGTAGATTGGCAAATAATCACGATGGTTTTAATTTCACTATGTTCGCGATTCATCATTTTTCCGCAAAATTAAACCCATCGTGAATGCTACATTAGTTTTTAAAAACGTTTAAATGCTTATATGAAATCTAAATTCATTTCTTGCAGCGTTAAATTAAAACCATTGCAATTGGTACTTTTTGAGAAATCGTGAAATTTTAACACAGTGGAATTAAAACGACTTACAGTATTTAACTGTGTATTGTTGTAGGAGACTTTTGAGAAAGTATTTGCTGCTCAGCCAGGACTGGACTCCATCCCCTGGAATTTAGTGGCAGGTAACCATGACCACAATGGAAATGTATCTGGGCAGATTGAATACTCCAAGCGTTCCAAAGTCTGGTAACAGAACTTAAAAAGATTTATGCTCTAAGATCTTTCTGTATGAAAGTTGAATTTTTGTGAAATACTGTATATGTACTTTTTTTCCATGGGGTCATAATTACACAGAATCACAATTTCTGTTCAATCAGCAGGTAGAAAATTATTTTTTGGACTGCCATAGTATCCCTTACATGCACTTAAAGTACACTTTCACAAATTTACGTGGAAAAATTTTTGACCGCATACATCACGTAAATCAATCCCATGTGAAAAAAAGTATGTCTACGGTAGACTTAACTGATTATAAAAATATTTAGAAGGATAAATTCCCATTAATTGTTATGAACTTAAGGATAATGTAGGTTCTCTTAATTCAGAGGCTGAGATAAGTTTCTGAAAATTAGATTTATTTTTGTCATTGGAAAGGTTAGTGAGAGTAAGTGTCACATGTAACCACAAACAAATGATCATTTAATTACAACAGGCGATTTCCAAACTACTACTATCCTTTGACCTACAACATCCCAGGAGGGGGTGTGGTCCAGATTCTGATGATTGACACTGTGTTACTGTGTGGGAACACTGGCGACGATTTCCTACATGACCAGCCACATGGACCTGTTGACCTTGGGGCAGCAGATGACCAGCTGGCCTGGATCACACAGAACCTGAAAAGTAGCAGGCAAGTGTACTGTTTGTCTGTCTGACAGTTACTCAGGCGTGTTACTAATGCATCAAGGAAATGTTTATGTGCAACAGTACATATACATGTACAACTAGGATCTATGTTTTAGCTACGGTATATTGTATGATTATACTGTAAACCAACTGCTGTTTGCTACAAATGTACTGTAATTGACAATCTGAAATCACCATTTGTGACTTTTTTTATTGTCACAACTAATGAATGAAACATTCTTCTTAGGGTCTGATGACAAGTTCCTCAAAATCATTTTTGTAATAATTTTGTAATATATTATACCAAAATTATTTACTATCATTATTACCATGTGATTTTTTATGAAAATGCATCAAAGAAATATTCCTGGTAAAGTTCCTCAATTCTTAGTGAGGAAACTTGGTAAAGAAGCAATACTTCAATCAAAAATTCTTGAGAAGAGTAAGAGATAACATTGAGGAAGTCATGTCATCAGGCTTTAAATAAACAATACACAAGAGAAATGACTTCCAACAACAGATATTTGTGAGTAATTAAGGGTAGTTAAACTTGCAGATATTTTTAAAAAATAAATAAATATTGATTTACAGTACTTTCTGTACATTGGCTTTTTTATTTATTTATGTATTTTTTTCTGTCTGCAACCTTTTTCTACTAATTTTAAGGAAAACTTAGGAATCTGTTGATCTGGTTGTCACAAAATTTTATATGTATACTGAGTATGTATCATATTCCTGACAGCTATTTTAATATGATCTCAAGTAGTGGCAATGTGTTTATAAATGTGTGGGTTTTTTTCAGTGCTGACTATCTGTTTGTGGCTGGACATTTTCCTGTGTACTCCATTGCCGAGCATGGCCCCACCCAGTGTCTAATTGACAAACTGTTACCCCTTCTTCAGCAATACCAGGCAGTGTATTTGTCTGGTCATGATCACAATCTGCAGGTAACTACAGTGACATAGCCTAGTCATTAGTATTATATTTATTTCCCAAAGAGTAGGTTCACTTTAAGCATAAAATGGCCCTATCTATTTACCAGTTAATCAGTTTTCATCTAAAATTAAATTTAAATATTATTTTAAAGAAGAGACTTTATAGTCTTTCTTTACATATAAAGACAAAGTGCACCCCCTTGATTCCAAAAATACAGTAACTATTTTATCCATAAATACTTGATTAATTGTACTTTTCGGATCAGAGATTGTGCTGTATTCAAATAGTAGTTTTGAAAAACAGCTTGAAATACATGTATTGGAGATTTTGGTAGACAATTGCAGGAAATGGGAATGATAACCCAATTCATAGTGTCATAATACATCAACTAGTGGCCATGACCAAATTATGTCATTTAAATATAGATAGGTTGTCACCATGTTTCCAAATTATATCGGAAGAGCTGTCAACTAAAAGTGATTTTTACAGGGCCAAAAAGGCCCTTATAGTGAACCTTGTTCTTTGAAGAGTTGAAGTTTAGGATTATGGGAAAACAAGATTTCCATTGTTCCTTGCAAATTTTTAAGTCTTTCTGTTGCTCATAGTAATACATTGCAGAGGAAATTGCTTCTTTATTACAAGACTCCTGTGTAATTACAAAACAAATTTCCTGTTTTATCATTACAGTTTATTACACGATTTACAAATGTTGGTGTAGACCAAAGTTATTTTTTCCAGCATCTACAAGTCTCAAGACCTGGCTTGACTATGAACTTCTTTGTGATTGGAGCAGCCAACTTTGCTGATAATAGCAACGCTCATGCAAAAGATGTCCCTGCAGGGTCGTCCAAGTTCTTCTGGGCCAAGATGTTGGATCTGGGAGGGTTTGCTTACATGGAAATCACAAAACAGAATGCTACTTTCACTTTCATCGATGGTGTTGGAAAAAATCTGTACCAAAAGTTGTTGTTACCTCGCAGGATCCCCATCAACTAGTTATACTACTGTTTAGTTGGGGGGGGGGGGGACTAAGTCAAGATGAATGATAGCATTATTTTTCATGAAATGCTGGTGATTTATTCCACTTTGTAGATGTGCCAAAATTCATTTCATATGTACAGTATAACTCAGATATAAGGAAGTTACAGGGACCTCAAATTTTGCTTCCTTTTAACCTAGATTCTTTATATCTGTGTAAGGAACATAGTGAAAAGTATTATACAGGATTCATAAAAAATTCCTTCTAACCCAGATTTTCTTGTAAGTGAGTTCCTTATAAGTGAGTTTTACTGTACTTACATTTTATGTACAAGTTCAACTGCTCTAAGGCCTTATCAAGATATCATAATTTTAGAAACACTATGCAATACATTTACCATAATCAGTAATTTTTGTTTGCATTGACACACATTAATATCACATTATGTTTAATTTTCAGCGACACACATTAATATCGCATTGTATTTATCTGCACTTTGTACATTCAAATGTCACAAACAATTTATCTTTATATATTTTTAGGTCACTTGAGCAATGGGCAAATTTATGTTGGAATACTTTTAATTACTCAACAGGAAAAATTTTATTTTTTGAAAATATAAATAATATTGATATTGTGGCCTTTTTCTTTATTTGAAGCTTTAGTATGGATTTGCTAGCAATAGCAATACATGTGAGTGCAATAGCCCATTGGTCTTCGCCAATGAATGCCCTAGGTTGTTGTTTGTTTATACAAATTTTATACAGAATTGTGCCATATGAAAAACACAGACCACTCTATGCAATTTTGATATTAGATAATCTTTATATGCACATGAACCGTGTAATAGGTAGAAAAATTTAACTTAATTAAGGACTGTACATAAAGCATTGTGATTACCGTAATCAACAGTTGTAAATAAACAACATTTTACGTCATCAGCTATGGCTGTGATATTGTGACAACAATTTTTTATATCAAATGTTTATATCTTTAGCTGCACATTCCCTATTTATACTACATATTAATGCCATTATATGCACAATCTTATATAGGAATATACGTTTGATGAGATATTCTATACATGTATTTGAGATTCATTTTATATACATGTACAACTTGCCTTTTAAGGGCAGTGTGCAAACATGCTGTCAATAAATCAAATCAAAGAATCACCATTTCTGGTCTCTTTTTTGATTAATAACAATTTAGAAAATATCAGCATAAGTGGCCCTAAAGGCAGAAGAGCTAAATGGTACATTACCTACTGTCTGTTGGTTTGACTGCAATCTTTAGCTCTTCTGAGTCAAGGCTCAAAGAGCTAATGCTATGACCATTTGTGCATTTTGGTCAAATCTCACTGAAACTAAAGCATTTCACTAAAACATTACCAGCTACTAGAGAAAGAATGCTCTGTTGAGATCTTTCTCCCTAAATTTTGGTTTTATTTCAATAAAACATAATTCTGTAAAGGTAGGTCTAAAGAAGAGGCCCACAGGCCTTACCGGAGTTACCTTGCTGTTCTTCAGAAGATACCCCCCCTCCCCCCCCCCCAAAAAAAAAATTTGGACTGCATATATTGTGACCCTGACCTAGCCTCAAGGGGTTACATGAATGATTTAACCATACTTGAATCCAAACAACATTGGGATGCTTCAATATCAGTAAGAAAACAGAGGCCCTTCTGTTGTGGAGGAAAAAAAAATCAAGATTTTTATTTTTGTAAAATTTGACCTCCAATTATAGTCCCACCTTACCCCCTTGTTCATAATTTGAAGAAATCGGCACAACTTAGGAATTTTTGCAAATTTATGATGTACGAAGTGTGGATGTCATGAAAACAAGGGGACATTACATCTCATTCGTCTGTCTGTCAGTCTGTCTGTCACAAAAACTTTAACCTTGGTCATAACTTTTGAATGAGAAGAGACATGGTTTCATATTTCATATCTTAATTACCTGTGACAAGACCTTTCCAAATGCACTATGATCCATGAAGTTTGACCTACTTTTCAAAAATTTTAGCAGGTGATGACTTTCGAATGAGAGAAGATATATGGCATTTAGTTTTGACATGTGCATTACCTGTGACAAGACGATTCTGAATGTACTATGATTTTTTACCCTGTTTCCTTGACATATGACCTAATTTTCAAAAATTTGAACATAGCTGGTAACTTTGGAATGAAAAGATAGGGTGTTCATATTTGACATGTGCATTACCTGTGACAAGATGTTTCCAAATGTACTATGATTTTTGACCACATAACCCTGACCTTGAAGTTTGACCTAATTTTCATAATCTTTTTAATTGTTATTAATTACTCTGAATGAGAGAAGATTTTTAAAGAGAAAAGACAGGATGTTCATATTTCATACTTGACATATGTATTACCCATGACGAGACATTTCCAAATAATTTTTGATCTTATTTTCAAAAAATTGAACATTGCTGATAACTTTTGAATGAGAGAATTAAGATAGGGTTTTATATTTTTGACATATGCATTACCAGTTACAAGATCAGAAACTTCCTGAATGTACTGATTTTTGATCTCGTGTTTTTAAAGGGGCCTGGACACAGTTGCTTTGTTTACAATTTTAAATGTCTCTTTTTATTAGAAAAATAACTTCAGTTTAATATACACCTATTTACTGGCTATGAGGATAATAGCAAGTTTATCGTCCCCCAAGACAGCAACTATTTCCCGAGGCGCAGCCGAGGGAAATAGTTGCTGTCGAGGGGGACGATAAACTTGCTATTGTCCGAATAGTCAGTAAATAGGTGTTTTATTATACGAAGCCGACTTTACTTATGTTACGTCACAATCTGGATAAAACCAGAAGAGCTCCGAGATGAAAAGCGAGGGAAACGGAATGCTGCCGGTGAATAGTTTGATGACTATTTCACCATGGGCTAATAGCACAAAAACTATTCCACGGTTTAAAAAAATAGCAGGTTTATTCGTCATATTTTCATATAGAAAAAATTCACAGAGGTATAATAATGATTAATATTCTAAGAATTCAATAACAACGACATTCCTCTAAACATCACATAAAATACCTGTGTGTGTGAACAGGGCACAAGCTCAATTATTGTTAGTGTTTGCGTTTTATCAGGTGTGTTCAATTTGTTTAGTCTGCACACATCACTGAGCATGGACTGACAATATTGGTGAGTTGGTTTTGCTTTCTCACATTTCTACTCTGAACTTTCTGGAGTATAGTTTTCATATTTTTCATTAATACACTACAGAATTTCTACTTTTCTTAAGCATTATGGATAAAGTTTACTTTGTGAAAGTGCATGGATATGTGTCAATCAAACGTGTCTGGAAATTCTTAGTTTAAATAATTTCCAGATAAAAGAAGTTTCTAAACACGCTTTCAATATATTTCAGTGTGAAATGCTATAGCAACATATAAGTCTGATATTATTTAGAATTGTTCAGAAATATGAGCTTCAAATCTGTATCCCTCTTTAACCTTAAAGTTTAACCTACAGTCTTTTTCAAAATTTTTAACATTGGTAATAACTTTTGAACAAGAGAAGATGGGGATTCCATATTTTGCATGTACATTACATATGGCAACACCTTTCAGAAAGAATTATCATTTTTGATTTCATGACCTTGACCTATAAGTATGACCCACTTATCAAAAATGTTAATTTTGGTCGTAACTTGTTCCAGAGAGACAGGGCTTTCATATCTATTCACATGTGCATTACTTGTGACAAGACCTTTCAGATCACATTATGATACTTGACCTCATGAACTTGATCTTGAAATTTGATGCAGTTTTAAGAAACTTTAATCTTTGCAGTAACTTTCAAAAAAAGAAGAAGCTTTTTTGTATTGCATCCCAACCACTAAGACTCTGAATGTGGGGGACCACAATTTTTTATTTTCTTATAAAAATCAACTATTGTACTCCACCCTGCCCTGGGGGGCCATAATATGACCTATCATTACCTTGCTGTTCTTGAGATTTTCAAAGATTTTTCCTTAATATTTTCATGTTAAATCTTGATTTCCTTTTGTGGTCAGACTCTACCCCGGGGGCTAAATTTGAAAAAATTTGAATCTGCACTATTTGAGGCTGCTTCCATATTTATATAATTAATCATGGACTTGCTGTTCTTGAAAGGAAGATTTTTTTCCCCTGTAAATATATTCCCATATAATACTTTCATCTCCTATAATGGCCCAACCCTACCCGTAGGGGCCAGGATTTGAACAAACTTTAATAACCAGGACCTGAGGATGCTTGCATGCGTATTGATACGTGTATGAGTAAACATAGCCATGCTGTTATTGAGAAAATTTTTTCCTATGTGTTTCCGTGTAAAACTTGGATCTCCTATTGTAGCCTCACTGTATCCCTGGGGGCCATGATTTGAACAAACTTGAATCTACACTACCAGATTATGCTTGCATATTGATTTGACCTATCATGGCAAGATAATTTCTTGTGAATTGTAACATGTATTCCTATGTAAAAATTTGATCTTTTGTGACCCCACCCTGTGGGCCATGATTTGAATAAACTTGAATCTTCACCATGTCAGGAAGCTTTCTGACCTAATGGTTCTTGGGATTTTTAGGTCACTTGAGTCACTATGGTGACCTATTGCAATCTTCAACACACTGTTCACTTTTTGATTATTTTCAGCTTCTTCTCTCGAACCACTGCACCATTTTCAAACAATTTTTGTAAACAGTATAACATTTCTAGGTAAAGGAAAATGTAATTTCATGGGCTCTGCCTCTCTGGGGCCTGATAGGTGGGACTAAAACCATCAAAATTAAAGCAATCTTCAAAAATGGTCCTCTTTAGTCCCGAATTACTTCAGAATATATTTTATAAGTATAATCCACTGTACAGACAAGTACTAGGGACACTTAAAGCTGAACACGCTTCGTAAAAAGAATGTGTCCGCCATATTCGATTGGACTCGAGCTGTATCTGAGGGCCCCTATATATAAGCCGCTCACTTGGTCACTGTTCAGTGTAATCAATTGTCACTGGTGTAGACGGACGTATGCTATACAGCACTTGGGAGCGACAAAAATAACTGTGTGCTTCTTCTAATGCAGGAGAGTAAGATACCAAAGACACTTACAACAGTTGCACAGGTCAGTGCAGTATACAAACAAACACAAATATACGTAACTGCAATAAAATGTAAACAAAGGGAATGCAAGATAACCAGCACGAACACGGGTCGCCATTCCACGCCGATACCCGTGACAATAAAGCAGTCAGGTGTAACGAATGCGAAGAGTATACCCTGGTGCTGATATCTAAGATAGTAATATCGAAAATGGCGTATGCCTATTTACGAGTCGTGTTCAGCTTTAATCAAGATTGCACCATTTGTAATGAAGTACATATACACAGCTATATATGAGGTCCCTGCCTTATGAGAGATAATTTTCTGACATTGACCTTCCTTTAGACCTTTCCGTTCTTCATTTTACATTTACTTTAGTTTTACAAAAGAAAAAAAACAACTAATCATCAAACATCATTTACTGATACAAATTGGTGAACAATTCAACTGTGTCCTAATTTTTTTACCTTGACCTTCCTTTTGACCTTGCACTTCATTTTTTTTTCCTCATTTTGCTGTAAGAACTCTGTGAAGGGTTACATTAAATGACAATCACTAATAAAATTGTCACAAATATTTAGTTAGGAACACAGCTGTATAGACACACAATAACAAGATAAAACCTCTCTGTTTATAATTTATTTCTATTGAGAAGATTTTCCTGTTTCTCTCCTAGTCTAAATCACATCAAAATCCTTTACCACCAATAAATTATACAGCACTTGAGAAACATTTAACAGAACATTAACAGATTATTACAATTCATACTCAGAACTATTTCCCTCTTTCAGCAGTATCAAGTTTTCTTATACAATATTTGGCTCAATATACATGTACTATAAATAAACACATAAAATAAACTGTTGAAGAAAAAGTGCAACATAGTGCTTATAAATGAATAAATATTACAGAAACAGTGTATTTTATATATTTTACCTGGGGGTTCAGTAACTTGATAACTTTTTTTCGATGACTTGATTATGGCACACACTTAAGACATTCACATTAACAAAAAAATAACGAAAAAAACCACAATTTAGCACTTTCCTATAAACTCCAAGTAAAATATGATTAATGAGTAACAAATAACATGATATTAAAGCTTCACACTGTCATTGCTTGTAGAATAATGTACTGAATCAGGGAGAACAGGCACTATATATATCAGCAGAGTCTGTATAAAGGGAAGTAACTCTTATACGAGTCAGTTATTGTATATATACAAGTCAATATCTACAGTCACTTTGGGTCAGCTGCTCTTTGTTAATACTCAAATCTACACGATTGTTAGGGTCTAATACTGGACGGAGTCACATTAAGTGGTGCATGCAGTGCCGGTCTATCTGTTCTACTGTACAAAAATCAGAACGTAATCTCAGTCACATGGTCTTCTGTAAATAAAAAACATTTGACAAAATATTATGAAATAAAACAGTTTTTATTCATTCCATTAAGTCATCTCAAACAATGCAACTGGTAGACTGTACAATATATCTGACATATGCTGGACTTACTACGGCATGGGTCGTCTGCCTGGATCCCCTGATCTGGAATATTCCGGATCATCATAACGTCTATAGGAAGCCTCCTCTCTCCTCTTTCTCTGTAACATCTCCTCGTATGTCGGAGTTTGGACTGGTTTGTTACTTGGTGGTCGGCTGTTGGACCTTTTTTAAATAAAATGTTAATGTTTACAAGAGGCCCAAGGGCCTTAACGGTCACCTGAGTATAATACAACAATTTAGAAGTTAAATACACTGATAGATGAAGCTTTTTGCCCTAAAGCAAGAGAAGTAGGAAGATCAGGATCAACAAAATAATTAGTCTAGTATTCAGTATCAACTCATAAATAAAGTTCTAATCTGTCCCCCACTTAACACTATCACCATGCAGACTATTAACAAACTATTAGTGCTTCTGTACTATTTTTAAACCCATATTAAGACCTCTAGCATTGACCTCTCTTATGGTCTTTGAAGAACTTTTAATAAGATAAGTTATTTTTGTCTCATTTTTATTTATCTTTTACTTACAGGTCTACCTGATTATTAAAACTAAGAAACTTCTTTTTGAATTATACGATAAACATTCTTGCATAATTAATTAACCTTTCAAATACATTATTTACAGTGATTAATTATCAAAGGTGAATGGGGAAGGGGAATAACTTCTCTCAGTAGAATACAAATTAATAGAGCCCTGCCCAGGACCAGAATGCTTAGACAAATGGTCCAGATGTTCAAAAATCTGGTAGAAATACGCTTACTTATATCATTTAAACTTTTACTCAGTTTGCTTCCGATATGCCCAGAAGCAGAGAAGAATTTCACAGGTACAATGCATTTTCACTACAGATTCAACAAAGCCTTACCCTAACACCAGAACTCAAGACCAAGGGTCAAGAAATTTACAAATTTGGAAGAGTTAGCCTCATCATCATAACTATGGACTTCAAAGAATTAACACTTTTCCACTATATTATCAAAAGCCCCCCCCCCCCCCCCCCCCCCCACAAGGACCACAAGATTTAAAAATTCTGTTCGAAGCTCCCATTTTCATCATAGCTAAGCAATTTATTTATCAGCTCAACACTAAGGAGCAGACAGGATTAATTAATGATTAATTAATAGAATTAATGCTTTTCACTATATAATCAATAGAGCCCCCCCCCCCCCCCCCCCCTCAAGAACCCCAAAAACTGAGGCCATATATTTAAAAATTTTGAAAGAAGCATCCTTGCTTATCATAATCATGCACTTAGTTTGTTTAAATAATCTCCAGAAGCAGAGAAGAAGATTTTCAAAGAATCAATGCATTTTCACTATATAATCAATAGAGCCCTGCCCTAACACCAGAACCCCTGACCCTGGGGCCATGAAATTCACAATTTTGGAAGAGGCTCTCTTGCTCATCATAACTATGTACTTAGTTACTTTATTTAATACCCAGGAGCAGAGAAGAAGATTTTCAAAGAATTCATGCATTTTCACTATATAATCAATAGAGCCCCGCCCTAACACCAGAACCCCCGATCCTGGGGCCATGAAATTCACAATTTTGGAAGAGGCACTCTTGTTTATCATAACTATGTACTTAGGTACTTTATTTAATACCCAGGAGCAGAGAAGAAGATTTTCAAAGAATTAATGCATTTTCACTATATAATCAAAAGAGCCCGCCCTAACACCAGAACCCCTGACCCTTGGGCCATGAATTTCACAATTTTGGAAGAGGCACTCTTGCTCTTCATAACTATGTACTTAGTTACTTTATTTAATACCCAGGAGAGAGAAGAAGATTTTCAAAGAAATAATGCACTTTCACTATATGATCTATATAGCCCCACCCTGGGGCCAGAACCCCTGACCCTGGGGCCATGAATTTCACAATTTTGGTAGAGGGCTCAATGCTTATTACAATCATGCCAATAGTTTGACTGCTTGATGTCCAGGAGAAAAGAAGAAGATTTTTAAAGATTGCATTATTTTTGGTGGTTTTAGCCCCACCCCTCAGGCCCCGAGGGGCAGGGACTATGAAACTCAAAATATTTGTTCCCCTTCACCCATAGATGCTATATGCCAAATTTGGTTGAAATTGGTTTAGCGGTTTCAGAGAAGAAGCTAAAAATGTTCAAATGTTAACACACGACGCACGCCGACAGACGAGAACGGATAGCAATAGGTCACCTGAATGACTCAGATGACCTAATAAAGAGAGGTAAAAGAAAAGAAAATAGGAATGTTTCACACAAATTTAGATACATAGCCATTAAGACAGAATTTAAACACTGTTGATAAAATGCTGACCTTGACCCTCCAGCTTCCTTCTGCCAATTATCCTAAAAATATTATACAGCATTTTAAAAGTAAATACAATCAACTGTTTACTGGAAACTAAACCATCTAATTTAATTTTAATTTCTGTTATGACTCATCTTGGTGTATCAAATCTGGATGTGGAAGTTTACCTAATATTTGTAAGGTCAAGAGCAAAGGTCAACATACTTCTAAGTCTTTTACAGTTAAAAATCCATGAACTCAGATATATGTACTATATATATGTACTGTGACATATTTTTTTATTGTGAAAAATAATCAAAGATTCTGTAATGTGTTAAATGAAATAGGCTTGACCTACTTCCATAATATTGGGATCCACCCACTTGGGTCGTTCCAGGGGGCGCTGCTGTGACTTTGAGTTATATTTCTGTAAGAAGCATGCAAACAACACATACAAGCTGTTAAACCTCAAACTTCCCATACATGTATCTATTACCATTACAACCTTGATAAAAACAGTGTTCCAAAAAACCAGGGAGTTGAAAAGGTGCTGTTTCAATACTGAACAAAACTACAACTACTTTTTTTTTGGAGACGATAGTTCTAGCAAAGAAAGGAAAAATGACAAAAAATTTGACAAATGCAACCTTCAATTAAAATATCAATATATTTGTATATAGACCAAGTGCATGTACAATAGCATATACTACTTTTAATGGTTTTCAACATGGATCAAAATTTGGAGAGTTTCTCAAATAAGAAATGTAAGTTGCAATTGGTGTTTCAGATCTATATTTAAGGTGGCTTCACCCTTATCTTTGTGTAATCTTTCATTAATTAAACTTCTTGCATTATAAAAGTATATTTTAGAAATGTTATCTAATTGTTACAATAATGGAGACAGTAAAAGTAAGTATTTCCTGTAATTTAAAAATGATGACAAGGGCAATAACTCTTACTTGTGGTTTTTCATTTATGCATGTTCTACAAATATCTATGTCATATACAGTTTCTCTGATATCCACAATTTACATTTCAGGATGGAGTTAATGATATTTAAATCCATTTAATGCAAGTGGAACAGATAAAATGTGTTTTTTTTCATTAACATCTAAGTGATGATACTACTGCATAACAATATATTAAAATTTAAAATGCATATATATATATATTTATTTGCACTACAAGAATTCATTTTTACTTATCTTCTATTCATCAATTAAAAAAATAGGGTATACACAACATTACATGTGTTACATTAATTTAAATGACGACTTGAATCACATATCTTTGGACAGGTAATGAGTACCACTTTCACAATGTCAATGTGACATGATTAAACCCCTTTAATCAAGTTACTATAGTACATGTATTTATGTATCAATACAACCCTAGCTGGAATTCAGTAGAACAGCACCATTACTCCCTTGTATTGGATATTGTGTAAAACACTACAAATTGTCTCTGATACCTTCTTTGTTTATGCAAACACATAATTATACTAATCTACATTATTATATATACACACTATAAACAGTTAAATATTTAGACTTGTTAATGATGTCAAAAAAACGTTACCGTGATTGCTGTCTAACCTGTACCCAATTAACTGTAACTATATCTTAGATCTAGATTGCTTACCTTCACCATAGCACATATCCAGTCCAGTGTTAGTTAATCATTTCTCTAGGAATTAATTACTACTTGTTGCATTACTACTAAGGTGTACTGGAATAGGCTGGGGGGGGGGGGGGGGGGAGGGGGGGCTAGGTCTACCTGGACACAAGTATGACAGATGTACTTAATTTGATCTCCAGACAGAGGATTTTTCATTTCTTCATTGATATTTAGGCAGTTGGGTCTAAATTTTCTTCTAAGGGACAGATGATATATATTTACTGTGATGTATGCAGACAATCGTGAATTTTACCATTTCAATCATAAAAATCTTTGAATTGTTACAGTACTCTGTCAGGACAATTCTAGGTAGCTAAATGACCAATAGGGTCTGTCATGACTGTGACCAAAGTCACCTGAACAAGTTCATTGTCATAGGAATTGGAAGTGTAAAAATTCTTGTCTGATCCATATTAGCCCTGGAATTAAGAAACATTTGAAGCTCATATTTGGCACAAAGGTAGATTTTGATCAGAGGATGTGTCAAGGTCTTGCACCAAAGTATGCATTCTAGACATCACAACTGCGCTTGATACAATGATGCATCCATGGGAAAAAACACCCTTATTTCATGGTGATGGGGGATACAAATAGACAAGACCTGGTACATGTTCTTTTTATTGGGGAGGGGTGGGGGTTGTGGAGTGTTAGATACTTGTGGACAGACAGGGAGTACTTATCTATTCTAAGGTTGGGTGGTGTGTTGGGGGTGGGAAGTCCTAGACAAAGAGTCTGTACTCACACTTTGTAGATACTTATTGTAATCCTCATGCCTCTCCTTAGCGAGCCTTTCTCTGATCTCCTCCACAGGTTTACCCAGCTGAGACATGAAACCGATGCGATTCTCCGATCGCGTGTTGTCCTGCTTTCTGTATCGCTCTGCTTCTTGTTTCTGGTAATAAATGATCACGGTGGAATTAGATTGATAACATATACTGTACAAAAGTGTACACAAGTTTAACACTTTGATATTAGGCTCACATTAAAATTTTCTTTGATTACATACCAGTAAATCCATTTATCATTGTTTTTAAGAAATTAACTTCAAATTTTGATAAAAATTTTTAAAAATATACTCCTATTCTGATAGTTTAACTTTAAGACAGAAAAAAAAATTTATTTCAATACAGCATTCCTAACAATAAACGAAAATGCTAAGTTTTAAAGATTTGAAACATTTTTAATTCAGGCCTTAATAATAAATAATGCACTACTTTTTAGATACTGTAACATGCATGTGCAAATAAGTTGTATTTATTGCTACAAGTTTTAGGATAATAAGAACATGCAAACATACTTTTATTGGTAAAATATATCATTCAGGCTCTTTGAGCATGCTAGCAAATGTTTTAAGGAGTTTACATGAAAAATATCATTTGAAGGTTAAATTATGATATAAATCATTTAACCATTCCACAATAAACACAATTTTACATGAAGTTTAATATAAGCTAGTAGTAATCAAATCTGTACAGAAATGACATGTGACACAATATTTCACATACCATAGACATTTATTACATATAAGAAATGCTGAATCTTGTTACAAAAAAAGGGAAAAACAGAAAAATCAACAAACCATTGAAATATATATCTCTATATTTATTATGAATCCCAACACACTAATTATGATAAAATGCTATGCAATGAATAAATAACTATATAAAAGCTAAGGAATAGACAGAGTAATAGGCATTTTTATTACATGAAGCATGAAATATGATTGGTTGTAAAAGGGGATCCCGCCACCATCCAGCCAATCTTACGCAGTGTCTTATGTTACCTCCAGGAAGTCCTGGAAATCTTTGGACCTCTCCTCTCGAACTCGATTCTTGGTGTCCTTATTATACAGTGGATCAAACAAGACGGCCCCTTGCTGCCCAAACACTTTAAGCCGCTCTTTAGGGGGAGTTTTCTGGTTAATAAGGTCAAAGGCATGGATGATAATTTGGCCAAAATTTCAATTTAGGATTTTTTTGAAATATATGTAACCACTTTTTTTTCAATGTTGTCTATGAGTTGATGTTTCCCTATTCTTTTACATGTTCCTTGTGATAATGACCCCCCCTTTTTTTTTAAATCTTGAATAAAATTTTATTTAAATCTTATTCAAATTTCAGAATTGAAGAATTAGACATTGCAGAGCCTTATGTTTATTATATAAAGTTTTCTAGCAAAAACCATGATCATAATTTGGTGATAAGAGTCTGGCATACTTATAATAAACAAAAATGAAAATGTGACGACCAGAAAAAGATCTGTGTAGAAGCATTCACAAAATACAGAAAGTCAAAATGGATCAGTTAAACAGGAGAAGACAACCCAGTAAGAAAGTGAAGAACCATGCAATCTGATCAGAATTGGTGCTAAAAGGAATATCATTGCTGAAATAAAATGCAAAAGAGTGACATGCATATTGCAATCAGTTAATTATACCATTGCAAGGGACGTTTAAACCAGGCCTGAAATGAAATTAATGAGATTAGGTTACCATGGATGTCACATGGCCTCAGTATGATTAAGATCGAGCAGTTGCTATGGCATCAGCAGATGTAAGAGTTTTGATTGGAGGAGAGTACCTGGCTCAGATATTCTTTGAACTCCTCTCGTAGTGCATTATTCAGCCTTTCTCTGCGACCTTTGTATTCTCCGGACTGTGGTATGGTGTGAACAGGTTCATCCTCCTTCCAAATCTCTTTTGACTTCTGAACCACAGGGTGCTGCACAAAGACAAGGTAACATTCTATCCATGTCTTTACACCATTCTCAATACACAACAGCTCAACCTCATGTTAACTCACTTTCTCTCATTCTGTTATATTGGTACATGCACCACTGCAAACCAAGCCACTTGTTAAATGCCACGCAGATTCTGTTAATTCCATATGAACTTCCAGGCAGTCATTTGATGACTGTTTTTTACATCAACCATAGGAAAATTTCCATTATAATATTGTGTAGCATGATCATGCACACCTGTTGAAGCATGCAAAGCAAAACATTTTCACGAAAGTTAAATAAGCTGGTATCGTCAAAACATGAGGATGTTTTCTATTATTAGACAAACACCTCACTACATGCCATTGTTAGTATGAGCCCTGAATCTCTGTCGGATAAGTAAGATCACGTAGTATTACCCCTGAGTAATAGTCCCGACATTCCTCTCGCCACTGCTGCTGGAAAAGTTTCTGTTTGTCCTTGTATTCCCCGACAGGCAGGATGTGAGGGTTATCTATCTCCTTACGGTAATATTTTGCTAGTTCCTGCTCACGTTCCTCTAGCTCTTTCTTTACTATTTCATGCTTCTGTTCAGTATTAAGTGATCAGTGTTATTTTGATTATTTAGGGCGAGATTACAAATGAATATTCAGATTACAACTCTCTTAAATCTATGGGAACGGTTACTATGGTAACTCATATGACCAACCTTAGCAGCGAAATCACGGAAGTTTTTTCTCCATTCTTCCTGTAATTGTTTGTGTTTGTCTTGATATTCTCCCTGAGGGAAGATTCGGACTTTGTCCAAGTCTATGCCATCAGATTCAATCTTAGATATTGCCTCCTCTCTCTTTCTGTGGATGTTCTTAAGATCTTGGGGCTAAGAATAATGTGTGACTTGTTATATGAAAGATACCATTTTATTTTACCAACCAGATGCATGCATTTACAGAACCTATCATTTTGCCAATGATAATAATTCTGAAAAGTAAACCTTATTCAAACTCCAGCTAGCATTCTACCACAGATCTATCTAAATGTACTTTGTACATATATATATGGGAATGGGATTCATAGCTAGATTAAACATGTAAAAGTTTTGATTGTTCAAACTAATAAAGTCAAAAGAAACAATATATTTGAGGAAAAATAAAAATTTATATAATTACACAGAAAGAAAGAAGATTACATTTTACCAACAAATGTTACTGTGAGCTATGACAAAGAAAAACCATTTAAGTGATTGGAGGTCATATGTCATATTCTGGAGGTCAAGGGTTAGACTGGAACAATCAGTATTAGTGGATGGTTAGTCTACAACAGCAATAACGGTACCTTAATGTATTCATTGTACTCCCTGCGACGTTCATTGTTAAATTTCACATTAGCACTGCTGGGGTAGTCCACCCTGTCTCCCGTGATTAGGGACCCCAGGGGTACATTCCTCTGGGACTGTCTGCCTGCTGGCTCCTGTCAGGGAGAAACCCATTCACAATAATACACACATAGTTGACCACTAAGAAACAACACACAGTTACATAGTAGACCACTAGGAAACAACACACAGTTGTAAAGCGGACACTAGGAAATGACACAGTTAGATTTGAGAACTCTTCCATTGCTGTCAGGGTCAGAAATTGCTCAGAATCAAAAGACAAAATTCCCAAATCATAATGAATAAAAGTGTTTTGTACAGAAATGATATACATGTAAATACATTATGGGCACTCTATGCTGCTGATGAAAAAGCTTTTCATTTTTTGCAACACTGGGATATACTATAGACTTCTCATAATTGTTGCATGTGCAAAATTCTCTATGTTTTAATAAAAATCAGCTAGAAAAAAAATCAACGACTAGATCTATAGTCTATGATGTACATTATTCACTTTGTCTTCATTGGCTACAAAAGCAAATCTTGATACTTCTGCATTAACAAAACCTGTACACAAATATCCAGCACTAAAAACAACAGATTTCCATCAAAACCCTCATTAACCATAAGTTATTGTGTCTGAATCTAAATGCACTACAAGCAAAGGTCAAAGGGGTTTAAAACAATATATCTTTGCTAATTATTAACAAAACTTTAAGATACAAAAAAATGTACCAACAGTTTCAATGCCCTCTATTTCTGCAAAATAAAAATGTGCCTCATACCAATGTTCATTGGTAAAAATATACAGTCCAACTCAAACCACTCATTACTTGGTAAAGAGATGAAATAAATAAATACCAGGGTAGATATGCCTGAAAAAATGACAACAACAAGCTAACCTCACAACTGCCACTTGTCTCCAACGCAAATCACACATACTGCAAACAATTACCCGATTACCAAGGCGACAATGAAATTAAATTGCAGTGTTACCTGATCCAACATTTCTTGTCTTTTTATAGTTGGGCTTCTAAACTATACAATCATACAACAATATGTAAATTTTTTTTTCAAAAATTATCTACTAATCAAGATGACAATGAATTTGGGTCAAGGTCACCTCACCTGATCTTGTGTCTCTGTCATCAATCCGTAAGATTGGAGCTTGCCACTGTGGGTCCGAGCATAATCACTGGACACAGCCTGAGGGGCAATCTACCGTAAAGTTCACATTTAGAGACCAACAGAAAATGAACCCAAGCCCCAACATACCATCTACATCAATCACCATACAACAACCAACAAGACCACCATACAACAAATACAGGTCAAGGTCAAGGAATACAGAGTTCAAAGAATCTGGTCTATCACCAGTTGATCATTTTTCAAGGTGTGATAAATCCCACAGTGAATCTCCAGATTATAGAAGCATGCATTGAAACCCTCCACATTGTGAATAATGCACTTATCTAATTTATAACTTAGCTGTGAAACATTTCATACAGTGTAAATTAAGCTAATCAAATCCCAAAAACAATGTCTTGAACTTAAGCATATTCTTTAAATGATAGTTATATTTAATCAAATAAAATTACTGATAAAAATTAACATTACTTTCAATCAAATGTAATAAGTATTGTTTTGGAAATATTTGTAACAAAGCTGCCAATCTGATTTTAGGTGTAATTAAACAAGTTTCAATTGAACAAATACAGATGTATATATACAAACATTTAAAACAAAAGACACTGAACCAATGAAAAAAAAAATCAAAGCACTTGGAAGAAATAAAAATGTGCTTGACAACCACCACAGAAATCTATAAAACCAACAAATTCAGGTGATCTAAAAAAAAAAACTCATAAAACATAGTAAGGAGAGTTCAAAACTCCAGTAAACCCAGACTATCTCAACACATTGCAGAGCCTCTAAACATGGGAGGGGGTATTTAAGGAAGAAATGACCATAAACTAACATCTGCAATAGTCATCTGAGTCACATTGCTCTCTCTTCTTTTAAATCAGTATGTACAGTGGAACCTCATTAACCTGGACACCAATAACCGGGAAGATTCACCTTCTGCCCAAAGTTCGTGAGGAACATTTTATTTTTATATTTTATCACATGCTTATTCCTTTATACATATGATATATTGTTTTTATATCAACAGTTGCGATGTCACAATGATTTTTATATAAAAGCCTTGAAGTCAAATGAAGTGGATTAATATTTAAAAACGGTGTAAAACCTGTCAAAGCCTCTTGTAACACATGTGATAAATGAATCTCCCACCAGTTTGTGGTGATTCCTAGCCCCAGGCCAAGGAAGAAAACACTTAACTCATTGGATCAAAATCTAACCAAAAAGCATGGGTGATCCTATATATACCAAATCTGTTTTAGTATTCTGGAAACTTCATTAATATAGAGGATTTGCATGATAACACAAGTGTCCGGACTAATGAGGTGCAACTGTATTAATGAGATTCTTTTACATGGCTTAAAACAAAAGTCCATGCTGACTAAGACGTACTGCATTTCTTGATACTGTAAATGTTCTTTAGGAAGTCTTTATTTCTATTTAACTTTAACCCACCACTGTCTTGATCTGAAAGGTTGTGGTTGTAGGTTTAAAAGTGAAACAAAAATTACATCCATACATATGCTGCTCAAAGGATATATAAATTTATTGCTATATGAACTCTCTTTTGTGGCACTGGGACCATGAAATCTGATGTTACATCAAAATGAAGTTTTTAATACATATTAAATTTTGTGTTTTTTATGAAATGGTTCTATAGAAGATTTTTGAATGATCTTTCTGAAATAATCATCTCCCTTTGGAAGGCAACTCTGATGTGTTACTTCTTCACTAAAGTATGCTTTGTGGTAAATACATTTGAAATTTGCTCTGTAGTCCAAGATATGACAAGATGACAGACAGATGGACGATAGACAAACTTCTACCAGAGAATCTCAATTAGTTAGAGTTTATATATGTATGTCCTAGTCTGGGATCATTTTATGTCAGACACTCTGCAAGACATGTTGGATGGCACAGAGGAAATAATACCTGTATATGTGAATTCAGATTAAATCGGGCCTGATTGTCAACGCGACTCATATATTGTTCCATCTCGGAGGAGCGTGTGCTCCTGTTAGCCAGAGGGTCTTGGAACTATTTAAAGGAAGCAGAGAGTGAATAAAACTCAATGTTTGTTCCTTCTCTATCAAATCCTACTTATTTGCCTAATTATTTATTTACAAAGACAAAAGCACAAAAGTACTTTGGAAAGATATAATGATGAGAGAAAAATCTTCATTGTAGATGAATGAAATTTATGATTAAATACAGTTGAATGCAATTAAATTATTTTTTTTTAGAAATGAAAGCAATGAAAGATTTTTTTTCATTTAAATCAATCTTATTAAGTTTTACATGTACTATAAGGCTAAATTTCCTCCAAACCAGTCTGAAGCAGCAAGCAGATCATCTTTTGCAGCAGATTTAAACAACAAAGAACTCTAGTGGTGAAGAGGGTAAGTGGGATGGAAATTTCTATTATGTATATGTATTGTAATTTATATGTTCCATTTACATGAGGAATTGTTTCTATGGTTAACAACACTGTACTAACCTGGTCTTGGAACTCGCTCCTCATCCCTAGCTCTGGTCGACGATTTGTCTCCGGAGGTTGGTGTCTATCAAAACCTTTCTAAAAAAAATCAGAAAAAAAACATTCCTTCTGCTTGAGTTGTTTGAAATAAATTTAATTTACATACAAATATATCTCTTTTTTATATAGATTTTGAGACTGAATTATTCCTAATTTGATAACCCTTAATTATGAAAGCAACCAGTACAGTCATATGACAAGCATGACGCTATGTTCCTATTTTTCAGACAATAATAGGTTTTTGCTACCTTTTTTTAAATTAGCAGTTTTTAATCCAAGTTTTATTACTTATGTTTTACTTTTCCTAAGACTCATGGTCTTTTTCTCAAGATGAATTTAAGGAATCATAAAATTAAATCTGTAGTGAAAATAGACCTGTACAGTAGTGCATATACTGTTTACAGGAAAAATTTTGCCCCCGTTTTATTTTCGTCCCTTTTGCCCTTATTGCAAGTGGGTGAATTTAAAACAAGGCAAATTCAAGAAAGGCAGCATTATCTCTTAACCACAATGGTGTCTGGGCAAATTTAAAAAAAAAAAATAATGGGCAAAATTGTTTGCAAGGGTGGAAGATCAAAAATAACACGAGGCGAAAATAACCCTGTATAGTACTGTAGATTATGTTTCCATAAATTGATGAAACTTGACGTATTCTTTCTCTGAAAGTGTTAAAAACGAACTGTTGAATTTTATACCTATATTGGTTTCAGTTTCTGTTCAAGCATGCTGTTCATGAGTTGTGTAATATTTATATACCCCTTTTTGGGTTACTGCCTACACCCTTGTGTGCATACAGTGAATGCATTAAGTATAGATACATACGTTAAATCTGTTAAAATATACATTATTGATTAGTTCTGAATTAGTGAAAAGTTAGATTAAACAAAAGACAGATACAAACAGATATACTACCATTTACCACAGTCTGATTTCTCAAAACAAAAATTGGATTAGAAAGTTGATTATTTAAATATATAATAGTAAATTCTATTGTAACTGCATACTTTATTAAACATTAATTATATTATTGACATAATTCTATAATTGTGATCTTTCAAAAAAACTGTACATGGAAAGTTGATTTCTTTTTATCAGTATATATATATTTTAGAAGTGTGGTAAATGTTGTATAAAATCTTACAAATTGTTGGTCAATGCAAAAAAAAAAATATTAAAAACTCAATTGAAGTATTTATCAGAATATTGAGATAAATTATTGTAAATGTTATTTTATAAATCAATGAAGATAATTAGAATAGTTTTCCTGTTTTCCTCTTCGAAGAAATCCAATACATGTATTAAGCAAGAGACATAAATATAACAGAGATTCACAACTGTTTGAAATCTTGAGATTTCTTGTGTGCCCTATTGATTATATAGTATTTTTTTTCAAAACTCACACCATTTAAAATTGCAAATCTTTAAAATTATCAAGGATAACAAAGTAGAACTTTTTTTTATTCATTTTAACAAATGATTCAGAATGTTATGGTTTCATAAATTTCTTTAAATGATTAAATTTGATAATGAAGGAGAAATCTAAAATACAGCTGCAACACTGGTGACCCATGGTTATAGCCTTATCTCGGAGATTTCATCAGCTACACAACCAATGATGAGTGATTTTTAGAATAATGCTGGGACTTGTCATATATTTCAGCTCTTAAAATCTCTGTTATTTCTGTATCTTGGTGAAATATACGTTGAAATTCAATACAAATTTTATATATGTTTATTATAAACAGTTCTTCGTATTTATTTATAATCTATATAAAAACACAAGGCAAATCACTTCATAGCAAACATTTAGGAAAAGCTTTTCTAATTATACAGCAGATTCTACGAAGCATTAAAAAGCCCTTGACCACATTTGTAATTGTCTAGTACACTTGTCAGACCTCCAGCTGGACTGGTCAATTTTAATTTACTTATTGTCACATATCTAAAGATTGAAAAAAGAGAAGGTTTAGGAACTTATTGATTGAATACGAAAAAAAAAATGTAATGAATTTCAAAGAAATGAATTAAAAATTATTGAAATGCAAAAACAATTAATTTCAAATATCTGTGAAGAAGGTAAAAGATATTAGCTAGAATGACAGCGCCCATTCAAGATCATGTGCAAAGTGCCACAAATGAAAACCAGGAAAGATTAAGATAGCCAATCAAAATCCACAAAAAAGATGTCAAGTCACCGTGCCATCACACCCCGTTATACCTTTGCCAGCAGTTGGTTGTATTCCTGATTTCGTTGTTTTTCCTGCATTTTACGCATGTTATCATATTGCCGTTGACTGAGGGGTAACCCCTGCAGGTAATCTGGTGTTGGGGCTCGTTTACTTTGCTGTTCATGCTGTAACATTACATACAAATATCTACAGTCAAAACTAAATTATCCCCGAAAACTGCTGTCAATAGGTCAAGGTCATATCTGTTCTAAACCATCCCATATTTTTACACTTTGCATGTAGTTAGTGCTTTGTGACTACAGAGCTGGAGTGAATTTCTAAAGCCTGGTGCTACATGTACCACAAACCATGCCTACCGGGTACCACTATACCATACAAGATTCTCAACCATCACCAATACTACACTAGTATATATACTACTTGTTTTTACACTGCTGTGATGGACCTCTTTATTGGAATGAGTCTTCAATAAAATTATAAAATACATTTCTAATGGTGTTCTATTTTGTAGATATATATCAAAATGTGAGATAACAATGTCCAATGATTACATGTATACCATACATCAAGATGCCCAGAGATTCACCAACAATAAATGTCAAACTAGAACCATGAGACCTATTTCCTACCACCATGTGTGGCACAACAAATGGTTACCATAATAAATATGGCTACCTGAAGATGAAAATTGTAGTCCCTATTTCTCTGTTTTTCCTGCATTTTGCGAAACTCATTGTACCTGAGCTCACTTTCTACCATAGGGAGGCTGGTAATATTACCCTTCCACATTGGATTCAACAGATCATCCTTCAGAAACACGGAAGTGGTTTATGACAAACTCTCGTATACAATACATAAACATATGCCTACCACATGTATGACAATGAATACAATAAATGTCTCTAAAACTCAATTCTCACTCAGATTCCTTTATTCTAAATTTTTAGATCTGATTTGGTTTATTTTATTTGAGTTCCACATCATCCACATGAATACACCATGTTATATGACTAAGAAATTCTTGAGTATAATATAACACTTCTAAAGCTGTTGAACACAATTTATACCTGCTTTTTCAACAACTGGTTGTATTCCATATTTCTCTGCCTTTCCATCCATTTTTGTTTGGGGATATAATGCTGTTGACCTATCGGGAGCCCATAAGCCTCTGGAGGTGTGGCAGGCTGCTATATATAGAAATCGTTTAACGTCCACCCAGCAGTTAGTGGCCCTAACCTCAACACACAGCTCTTAACATGCAGCTACTAACACTACAGACCAAACAACACTAGACTGCATGCACCCAAACTCACAGCACTATAAAACACTACATGCTGGAGGCAGATCTCTATTCAATCTGCAAGCAGCATGCAGAGCAGCATAGGAAGTATAATGCTCTCAATGATAGCATTTATGTCACACTTGTAAGTTAATTACAGGGTATTTAGTCATATATTAATGCTATCTTAATTTCAACTCATTAATTTCACATGCAGTAACACAGTCACTTTTAAGACAATTTGGATTACCAAGCATTAACTCGGGTAAGTTAGATTGTAAGTTCACAAAACTTACCTTTGGACAACTTGGCTATAACTATAGGACATGAATTCTAAAGTTTTACAGGGAAGGATTAAGAGTTAGTCATTTAAGACTTACGCTTTTGAGGTAATTCTGATACTCTCTATGTTGCTGGTCTCTCAGTGCCTGCCGTTTGTGGTCGTACTGTTCTGAGCTGTAGTAGTCTCCCTTGATGATCGGTGCCGGAGCCTGTTGACGCTGCTCCACTAATTTCTGCCGCCTCTCATCCTCCAAATGTTGCTTCTACAAAAAAAAAATCAGTATAAACCTCAGAGGTAATGAGGAAGTGATTGTATTAATTTATCAATATTTCTGGTTTTACATAGAGGTGCATCAAGATCAACAGAAGTCAAAGATGGAATCACTAAAAATTATTTCCTTTCTTCAAACTTCTCATAACATCTCTACCCGAAATTTCATGTATTTCTTTAAAATGAAATGTATTGTATTATTGTATTTCTTATTGGTTAGGTCATACCAATATTAACGATAGTATTGAGAACTAATAGTACATACTTTGGCAAGGAATTCGTTGTACTCCTTGTTTCTGACTTCGTGTTCAGTCTGTCTGCGGTATGATCCGTAATCATCATGGCCGATGTTAGCTTGGTGTGGGGGGGATGTTACTCTCTGTAGTTATATATGAAGCCTTTCAGTTTTCAAGCCATTTTCTAACATTTTTTCAACAATTGTTTAAGCAGGTCAATGGAGGCATGCTTTAAGTTTTACATGTCACACATTCTTGATATCACGTCACAAAAACACTTGTTTTTATTGAACAACTCTTAATTATCAAAGATATGGTACACAAGTACATGGTAATTGTCAGTTTAAATCATTTTAAGCCATCTAAACATTATCTGATGGTAATTGTTCCATGCTCATCATAAAACTTCATTTTTGGGACCATCCCTAAAAACAATTCATGTTGCAAATTCTGAAGTGGTTGCCAAATCTACCGCAGGTTCCAGTAATGTGTATATTAAATGGTTGAAGAAGAGGATGGCAATGGTGTTAGATGATACATTTCTCATCAATTTTCATGCCTGTTTCTAAAATATTGTGTTCATGTGTCAATATGGTACAATTTAGCCACAATCCTCATCTTTAAGTCACAATTTTGACAATTGTTACAGTAGATAAATGAATCCCTTACTGTAGACCCCCCCCCCCCCCAATAAATCCATGATTTCAACAATGTAATTCAGAGTACATGTACATTTTTTACTACAGCCAGATGTCTAGTAAAAGTGTTCCTTGATTTTCGCATGGACATCTTTATAAAATTTTATATTCCTGTGTTGTAGCCCCAGGAGTCATCACTTGGGGGAAAAAAACGAGTCTATATAACATGGATATGCTTATTGATATTTATAGTTCCTGAGAGATTGTGGCCCAATTTGTGCCCCGGGGCAGCGATTTGGGAAAAAAACTTTAATTTCACTTAATAAAGAAGCTTTATTGTAAATTTTGTTATTTCTGGCCTTAAGTTGGTTCATGGAAAGATTTTTAATTGACCCCACCCTGTTTTTAATATCTTATATCATATTATATCAAAAGATAGAGCTGGAGCAGACCTGCACTTGATGACTTTTAATCAAAATATTGATGTAAAATACACTTTTTTTCCTCAAAATCAATAAAAATTTGAATTTACCTCATCATCTTAAAGTCATTTAAAGTATGATGGCACAGCTGATGAAAATAAATAATGCTCTCAAGTCTGTATATACCAATTAATGGCCTCCAATTAAACATTTCTGCGTGAATGATAGCTTAGGAACAATTACACAACAGTTTTGGAAAAACACTTGAATTTACAGTTAATTTTGTTACTTCAATCTCATCAAGCATGCAATTTTATTCAGACTCAAAGTTATAGACATAAATATTTGGTTTTAATACATATGATATTTCATTAAAATCATGACCATTTTAATATGTGAGGAATATTATTGATATATATTTCAGTGAGGTCTGAAAAGGAATTACACTTCACACATACTGATACAATTTAAAGTGCAAAGATGCTATAACATTCACCCAGCATGCACAAATCAAGTGAATACCCCGTTACTTTCAATTTTAATAAATAATTACAACATTTATTGGGGCTGAAACAATCAGAAAGGAATACTAGGTAGTGAAGCTATTCTGAAACCCTGAAACATTTTTTCAACTTTAAAAACCAAATTTCCTAAAATCTGGGCTGTTTCCAAAAAAGTTGATCTTACAGTGTGATAAGGAGTGGAAGGCAGCATACCTTTACAGCACCAAAATTGGGTTGTCTGTAAGAATCAGGGTCCCATCTCCCTGAGGGTGGGCGATCCTGGGACAAATCAAGGGGAGGTGGGGGGTCAGAAATTGCCTGGCGACGGTCAATCACTGGAATTTCCAGTTGGTGTTGAGCTCGGTTCAGTATTTGCTCTTTTTGTTGCTGGAAGTTTAAGAAATTTATTTTTTGCAATCCAAGCTGTTTCCAGATAATCAAATTTAAAAAAAATATTGTAGTTCTAAGGCAATTCATATATATATATTATCAAAGTAGTTTGAAGATTTCCATGACATGTTTGAATAAGATTTCAATCTTATGTTATCTATAAATTAAAAAAAATAAATTGTGTCTTATCTTATAGACTGCCTAACAAATTTCGGGTATCATATTCCAATCAAAAGTTCAGAATGGCAACATTGCCAAATTTAGAAACAATAACCTAGGTGAAGACAGACAGAAACTGTCGACTTGCTCATTTCATTTTATGTGGCATATCAACATTTAAATGTGAAACACTAATTTTTCTATGCTTTGATAGATATTATTTTTCTTTTTAGGTTGCCAATTTTGGAATCACTGCTAAATTGAGATATTTCCAAGACAATTTATAATTTTCATTCAACCTCTATTTTATATTTAGGAGAAGTCTTTTTTTTTTTTTTTTTTATAATTAATACTAAGTAAAGTGTGATTGACTGATTCTTAGAAGGGCAGGACTGAAATTGAGTAAAGCATGACTCATACTGAGTAAAACTTGATTGATATTGAGTATAGCTCAACTGATATTGAGTAAAACTCAACAAATACTGAGTAAAACTCGATTGATACTGAATAAAGCACGATCTGAGTATACCCTCAGTAACTCCTCTCGATATTGCTTCTTCTTGAGCTCAGCAATTCTGTGTCTCTCAGCTTCCGTGGGTATATTGAGGCCCACAGGTGGGGTGGGAGGGGCACGGGGGGTACCATTAACCTCTTTCTAAATCAATACATTGTGCAAGTATTAGAAGTGTTATTTCACTGCAAACAAACATATAACAATCCAAAACGTGAGTTTAATGACACACACTGAAAACAATACATGTATATATTTTCAAAAAGTAAACGAAAGCACAAAAGTTATTACCTATGTTACATGCTAACATAGGACAATTCAACTGTGCACACAAGTGCAACTGTATAGTTACATAGGCATGCATACAAAATGATTTTACAATATACCCATGTCACCATATTATATACGTCATATGGCAAATTATACAGTTGTGTAGTTAATTAATTAATATTACAAATAATTATCATTCATATCATTTTCATATATTTTCCTAAGTCCTTATATCATATTATGAGTGGTCAAACTTTTTTTCTGTTCTGGCATTTGCACATTTGCACTAATGCTTATTCTCCCAGGGACTCCAACATTTTACTTCAAGGAGAGACATTCTCTCTCCCCCCAAAATACCTGTCTTGTGATATTTGTGATTTAGAAACTCAAGGAATAATTTTAAAATTATTTCTCAGTATTCAATAATTGTTTATTATCTTTCACATCATTTTTAAATCAAGTAATTTATAAATTATCCAAAATTTATAAATTTAAACAATATGCTTAAAAGTATGAGCAAGGCCAGAAAGGAATGTTCATTAATATTAAATACCTGTTCCTTTAATTATTATATTTTTGATCACCCTTTATTGTTTTATATTCTATATGATAAGTATACACTGAACTGAACATTTGTTCTATTATTTCATATATACTTTACAAAGCTGTGATATACTGGTATATGATTCTGTACTTAAGTTGCAGATCCAAGTTTTATTTGAAATTCTTTCCATTGGAATGCTTGCGCTTATGCAGTAAGGTTGGTGTGCATTTAATGGACTTAAGTTTACCTGTGTATTTTCGATCTTTAAATAAGAGTTAACAAACACACACACATTGTGAACTTGATTTATTGGGTGTAATTCTAAGAGTAGTTTGTAGACAGCGGGTTAAAGCTACATTGTCATACAAAAGAATATATTGTCACTAAGAGTGTACACTATATCTATAAAGTAGAGAGATATATAGGACTATTCTATACTGGCAGTATCTTAATTAGTAATTGGTTCTTAATCATTTTTTATTTACACTACTAGAGTAAAGATTCTATAAGCTCTTATATCATACACAGAACTATGATCATGCGTGGACACCTAGCTCTCTAATTTTAAGATTTGAAATTACCTGTTCCAAAAGTCGATTATAATCATTCTTACGCTCTGCTTTTAGCTCTTCTTTAAGTTTTTTATAATCTATGATTACGTTCCGCGGAGAGCCCACTAGAGGGCGCTCAGAATCCAAGTGCCCTTCATGGCTTGGGGAGGTGTCCAATTCAAATTCTTTTGCTCTTTGCAACCATTGCTCATTTTGTTGCTATTCATTTTAAAAATAAAGTCTAATTCACTTTCAATTTTATTCTTCAAGAATTAAACTTAAGAGGAAAAAACTTACTAGTATGATTTCAAGAAGACCAATGAAAGATTAACTGATTGTGTAGAAAAAAAATGTAGGCAATTGAAATCAGTCAGAAAGATAAGCTATGAAGTCCAGTACTTAAATGACCAATCTCTCATAGAAGAAGAATGGCACTGCTGCTTTACCTTAAGCAAAGACTCCCTATATTCACGCACTCTATCTGCTTTGAGTTGATTGCGATATACATCATATCCCCCTATAGCGAGGCCACCAGGGGGAGTTACTGGTCGATGAGCGTTTTCATGCTCCAGAATCTCCTTCTGTTTCTGTTATCAGGACAAATTAAGGTTAAACAAAGCTAACTTCATGTTAATTAGCTCCTTAACCACAAGCATGATGTGATGATGCACTAATACAAAAGCCCCACCCACACTCAGGCTCCTCCTCCACCTGGTCACATGATTGTCACATGACTTTACCTGTGATGGAGTACCCAAAGGGCGATCATCCCTGGCTGGTTTTAAATCCATTTGCCTAGGATTCTCCTTTAGAAATTATGTATTATTATTGAACAATGTCAGTCACTCTCACTTTTTTACAGAGTATGAAAGGTATGCATGCACAGCACTATAGCAGATTTGAATACAGTAGGAAAAAGTGCTAATTGACAGTGAGTGCCTCTATCATATGTAAATAGACAGTATCAGTTTGATGTACGCTACAGGTAAATCAATGTATATGTACAGTTATTTGAAAATATTGTTAACATAAACCCATATGTATGTACTTAGAAATATTGATTGTTAACAGAAACCTTTGTTTGCCAACCTCTTAAAAAGATATTTATACAGTTTAATACATATATAAAATAATCATTTGATATTCATATGCATAAAAATTTATGTCTACTGTTGCATTCATCTTTCTTAATGGGCATTTCCCAAGATTTAGAGATTCTGAGAGATGATGATATGGGGTCAATTGTCTTAAAATTATAACTGATTTATTACAGTTCCCATGCAGATAATTAAATAAGGAATATTGAGTGCCTAATAATTAAATAAGGAATATTGAGTGCCTAATAAGTGTATATCTTTCTATTTTCTATTTTATTTCATTTATAAACTTATTTTGTTATAAACTTTAAATACAGGTCATGCAGAAATTTCTAATTGAATAAGATAAATCTTAGTTTCACTACAATCTCTGGTTATTGATGTCACCACACAGGTACGCGACCACTCACCAGGTAATCATTGTACTCTTTCCTCCTCTCCTCCCGGAGTGTCTGTGACATCTGATTGTGGTCGTACATCTCAGTCTGGGGCTGACGAGGGGGTGAGGCTTGTCGCTGCTGTAACACCTCATCTCGATGTCTGTTCGCTTGTTCCTCTTTCTAGTGTGTGAACAAAAATTTATATCCCTTAATGAAATACTTTCTTTTATAAATCCTAATTATTTTTTTTCAGAGATTTTAACTGAACATAAACTCTGGTTCATTAAATTTTAAACTGAAAATAGTGCAGAAAAGAAGTTATAGTGTTTTATCTGAAAGAAACAAAGAAATGTACAAAAATAACCAGACAATTTGTTGAAATAAAAATATGATAAATAAATAAACAGAAAAAAATAAATAAACCACCAAATTACCTTCATTCAGGTAGAGAACTTTATCAGTTAAAGAAACAAGAAATGTCTAGCATAAAGTATTAACTAGCACAAAGACAAAAATATGTTAATCAATCAAAGAATATACAATATTTAGCTAATAATTTAATATTGTTAGCAAACACCTGAATGAAGACCTGAAAAAGACTCTTTAGTAGAAAGTTTATAACTGAAATAAATAAAATGATAAAAGTATATTGTGCAATTGGTGCGAGTCTACAGGACTACAAATACTTTGTACATGTATAACTAGCGCACCAGTATACCTCCTTTATAAATTTATTGTAGTCTCGGTGGCGTTCATCGTTCAGAACCTTGCGAGTCTGGCCATAGTTTCCTATGGGGAGTCCCTGCTCTGGGGCTCCTGTGGTATAATACACAGGCTTTTGCTAAAAACAGATAGTATATTCCAGACTAAAGTACCATACAACCATTCGCCTTAATTTCAGAAAGGGGCAGTCTTTCCCAATAATCGGGATTTTAAGTAGACTAAAATCTTCCTCCTAGCCTTGCTCCCTTGTCTATTTTTGGAGATTCCCAGTCAGTTCTCTACCATATGTCTACAGTTTATTTACTTAAGAGTTACAACCAAGACACTTGACCATGCTGATAAACCCCTAAAATTAACCTCTTCATGTCTTGACAGTAGCCTTATACAAATTGCTTGGTATTTATGTATCTGTGGCCCTTTTCATAAAAAATCTTATGACTATGATAAAAATTTGATATCTCTTAATATCTTTATTTTAAAGATTTTTTTCCCTAAATATTATTCACAATTGTAATCTAATGTAATAGAAATATAAGATTTTTTGTGACACACTACAGATGTAGGGTTGGTGAATAGGAAAATTTTGTCTTAGTCTTAACTTGTAAGATCTTTTGTGAAAATTAAGGGCCACTGTTTTTAAGAGAAAGAACAGTGTTAGCTAACCTGTCCTTTGTTCCTTTTGATTTCTAACATATGTATCTACATAACTACAGATACACTTCCTAGCAAATGAGATTGTAAAATCTGTGCTAAACCTGACAAATTATTGAGGGAGACAACTCAGACTGCATTTATTTTAACTTTGATTATACGTAAGCTGATAGTTCAAAATACTTCTACATGCATACTAATTAAATTTAAAATTCTTATTCATGCATGTATTCTACTTTATTCATATCAAGTTTTCTTTAAGTAGATGTAACTGACAAAGTTATATAAGTACTCTGCATGCAGTGTGCTTATTTCAAATGACAACATTATGATGCTATGACCTTGGCTCTAGTCTCTCTCTCTCTCTCTCTCTCAATAGTATTATTGATATAGGGAGGATAAAGGTTGAAGCTCCCTCAAGTTTTGGAGTCAAATAAAATTTTGCCTATCAGAATATACAAAATTTTGACCTTGAATTTTGGTAACCTTCATCGACAGAACTTTCTAAACTTTTACTAAATTGGATCAATGATATTTGTAAGTAAAACACATTATAGATCCTAAATTACGTCTGTAAAGAAATATATAAACTTGTAGTAATTTGATCTGCCTCTGAGCCTGATCTAAATTATAAAAATTATGTTCTGGACCATCTTCAACATGCAATTTTTTGTTGTTGAGTTTTCCAAAATGTGATCTCATCATGCCTTAATGATCTTGTTTGAAAATTGATTTAAAGTTTGGAGTCTCTAACATTTTAAGTCCTTCAAACATAATTTCACAAATTTTCACAACCCTTCCATTTAGCCAAATTATGTAAATCTTTAGGTTAAAAATAACTGAGTAATTGTATCAAATAAACATATAATGATCTAATCAATACCCGTAGTCTAAATCCTAAACTTTGTTTGAATGCCATAAAATTCTGTAGGACTGTCATTCATTTCTTCATGCAATTAATCTGACATCTATTAATTGACTAAAAAATATCTGATCTATTGCATCACAATGAGCACATCAGTACCTTTCCCCTGGAGTCTATTGGCCCCAAAATGTATAGCCCCCCTCCCCCTTCCTCTAACCATATTTCTACCTATTTAGTAAATATGCCTGTAGTTTAAAATGTATTCAAGACACACCTAGTTCTGACACTGATATGGGGTCCAACCATTACTTTTGCATGCCCACATTTTGATTTGAAACCTACTTAATCAAAAACTATCAAAAATTGACTAGGGAAAAAAATCATTCTAATTGCATTAACAACAAGAGTGAAATGTACATGTGTTTTATAATAAAAGGTGAAAAATATATGAACATACACTGAACCATAGATATAAATGACTTAAAGTAATGAAATTGTGAAGTGATCAAAATATGTTAACAAATCAAAAATTTATAAGCTGAGTACAAATCAGTCTTAAATTATTCCTCTAAAAACTTCAAAATTTGTTATACATGTATTTATGTGACAATCTATTTACATTTAATCACAGTCCTAGGTGATTATGATAAGTCTAACACTAAAATGAGATAAAGATAATTTAATCATGCTCTGACTAAATCTCAACTGATCATGCACTAGATACAGAAGCATTAGGAAGTCAGTCCTCTGCCTATAGAGGGCGCCAGGAGCTACATACTCGCCGTATGTGGTCCTCGTATTCCTTACGCATTTCCATCTGTATCAGATGTTTGCGCTCTTTGGCTTTTTCATCACTTAAACTGACTATCCCAGAAGTTATCTGTAAATCATCAGCTTGTATCAAATATGCAAAGGTTTTTTAAATAATATTCTTATATTAAACATACAACATTTAAGAGTATGATGTAACTTATGGTATTTAAGATATTTTATGAACTACACTGCCTTGCAATTCACAATATTAAAATGTAAAAGAAAATCTCTTTTTTACCAAAACTGTTAAATATCTAAAGCTATGATGATCAAATTTTAATAAGATTGACAAAAAGGGATAAATTTTGTTGCTACCAATGTCCCCAGAGTTTAAATCTGGGGTTGAGAGGGGGTAAACCAAGATAATGTTTAAAGATGGTCTTTTATAAATTCTTATCTTGCATACAATAGCTGATCCAAGAATTGATGTTAACAAAGTGTTTGCCTTCCTAAATTTTAAATGGACATTATATACACTAAACAGTTATTGTTTGTTAATTCTATGTAGTGTTTTAAGCAGGTTTTCTCTGATAAGATCTCTGTGTTCCACATTTAAAACTTTCCTTTTCAATTATATATAAATGTTAAAATTCAATCAACACACAGTTTGCACAGAAAATCAATAGTTCTTATAATATGTCAAGAGAGCAAATATATAATGGCTGTAGATTCTTAAGCTGTGAATAGATATACATAATAAGGTGTGCAGTGAAGGATCGATTCCAGGCATCTTAAGATTTCTTCCTTAGAGCAGTGAATTTATTATTATGCCATTAATGATCAAGTTGACATTTATGAAAATTAGTCAACTTTCCCTCTGTAGAAAATTGATATCATAAAATAGTTTACGCCTTCTCCTGCCAGCATTTAGCATCATTAACAAAATGTTCCACTGTATACCTAGCTGTGATCATTTTCAGAATTAACTTTAACATATTTACATAAGTCTGTTAATTACAAATTCCATTAACTCCAAAGAGAGTCCTCTTATGATTGGATTTACAAATCTTTAAATATGGTATTACAATAGAAGTTTCCAGAAATTAACTAATGGTATGTTTAAAAATGTAGGATACAGTAAGTCTTTCACAAATATGAAGTAATTCTTTAAAATTAAAAAATCTCATATTTTCTCCAGTTTAGAATATCACCCAATATACTATATTTTGCTACAATTACGAAGTAGATAATATACTCTATGAATGTATGATCATTACCATGAAATGTATTTAAATTGTTATTAAGGGAAAAAAAAAACCTAACAACTGTTAATCATACAAAAAACAAATACACCAAATGAATCAGAAACATTCTTACCACTGGTGGGTCAGGGGCCCTCTGGTACTGTGAGGGTTGGTCATACCTCTCCTGGGCCCGGGGAGGGTCATAGGATGATCGGTTATAGTCCCCTGGCTGCTGGTACGAATCATAAGTTGGACGATTGTAGTCGTACGATGGACGACCATAATCATTCTGTGGTCTGGAGTCGTACATGGACCGACCATAATCAGCTGAGGGGTACTCTGGATTTCTGTCAACCATCGCAGCACTCATTTTGCCACCTGTGGATGAATTCAGTACATTGTCATCAATATTTCCTATACATATCACACCTTTTCTTTTTTTTAATTATTCACAATTAAGAGTATTTTGTAAGCTAAACCAAACCATATCATTTATGTTAATACACTCATTTTCAATACATTATAAGGTTCAAGAATTTAAAAAATCTACCTCATTATTCAGATATAAGCATGTAGTTAAGACAGAGGAATAAAGTAGATATCAACCTTTTACACTGAAAGTGCTGATAATACAAATGTAAATATTTTAAATTTGAGGCAGCATAAAGAATTATAATCTAAAATTTTAATAATTATTTGAAGATATGCCCAAAACTGGTTTTGGGTTTTTGTAAACCTATTTTTCACTTGTTAAACTTTAGATACTTCAGGTTACATGATCTGATCACATCAACAAACAACAATACCCAGACAATAAAGCCTTGAAGTATCAATGATCATAAATGTTTAAATACCACTTAATGCTTTGTTTACTCCTAGCCAAATCTGTTTTGATCCCATTTGTGTGACACAAATCATTATGACCAGGGTATGGGAAGATGACAAAGGATTTTAAATCATTTTAATATTATATGTGCTCATTTTACAAAAGCATCAAATTACTGCGTATTAATGATCCAAAGTATAGGTGGTAAATAATTTAACCCAAATTATCATATTTAAATTACCTGCTATAAAAAATTAAGCTCCTAAAAAAATTCTGATTTAATGATTATGAAGACATTTACAGTGGTGAAAAATATTCAAATAAAAGCTAATCTGTTGTTCTTCCAACAAATTTCTAAAAATATTCTTCATATGATGTTTTATGTTAATGAAAATGAATAAATAATATGCTTTTTTTAATGATTCTTAAAGTTTTTAACCAGAACAGTTATTTATTTCGCTATTTATATTTCTAACATTGTTTTATATTATAATCGATATATATTTCTGGATTCAAACAGCGTCGATATTCTCTTCAATAAGAAAGGAATATCTAAATAAGAATTTTAATATAAGTTTTTATCTACTGACAGGCTAATTAAAAGATTAATACTGACCCTTAAGGCACGTGTGTGCTGCTCTCTACGTAAATGGAGATTGTTGACAAGGTGCGATACACAATAGCGTGGTTAGCAACAAGTGTCTCTCACATGAATAACGATCTAATACAGGTATATTAATCAAGAGATGTATAAATTCAGCTCTTAGATAATAAAAACTAAGTGTTGTTCATCTAAGTTTGCAAACTATCACATGTATTTCAGTTGTAAATCAAATAAAATGTAACGCAGAATCTAATCGGAAGTAAACAGAATACTGCAATGAATGAAAATAGTAACAGAATGATATGCGTGTAGCATATAAGAATCCGGCAAAATGTTTGCTTTGCCATGGGTGATGGAAGACGACCAAGGAATGTTTTCATATTTGTGTGTTAATTTAAATTCCACTTCCTTATCACTTATATGCTGAAGTGCTGCTTATTTTCTACTGCAGTTCTTACGGATAAAATTTGCTTATGTATATAACGAGAGAGAGAGAGAGAGAGAGAGAGAGAGAGAGAGAGAGAGAGAGGGGCGGGGGCTACCACGTACAGTCGGGTAAAAAAAAAAAGACGGCTGTGGATGTTGGATGCGGAAAAATGGGACAAATTTGAATTCATTCGGTTTTATTGCTTGCAAAAAATATTGAATTATTCAGTAACCTGTTTAAGTGTTTTGTTTTTGTTTTTTTTTTTTTTTACCATTATAAAAGGAGGTGGGTGAACAAGGTGCAGAATGCCTATAGCTTCAGATATATAAAAATCATAATCACTTTATGAATTTAGTATTTAGAGTAAAGTTCTCATTATTGAAATTAATGAAATTATGAAAAAAAACTTTTCCTAGGAAAAAAAACCTCGGCAAAAATTATTCTATTATTTAAAAAATAATGTGGTATTCGTGGGGTGCGAACCCCAATCTAATTAAGATCAGCCTTCTTAGATCGGCGCCGTATACAGATTGGTTCGAACCCTATAGCGAGCAATAAAAATCCTAAGTCTCACTTTCCTTTGAGACTAAACTCTAACCACTACGCTACACAGATCTTGATGAATGTTGGTATTTAAATCATGTTTGTGATATGACCCTTGACTAGTTGGACTACAGACTTCAAATACTTCTCGGAAAGATGCGATTGGTTTTTCAATTCAATCCTTTGTGCAAGAACACAGCTAGAAAAGTCATAAAATTCAATCATTTGAAATGATAACCCCCTTTCCTTATGGACTTCCTTAGATACATCTCTCTCTCTCTCTCTCTTTAAACTGCGCTCTAAAATTTTCATTACTCTTTAGTACATTTTTTTGTCAATACACACAGCAAATTTCAAATAGATTTAAGCTCAGTTAGCAAACTTTTGGAACACACAGCAAATTTCAAATAGATATAAGATAAATTCATGGGCCTTTTGTACACTTTCATACATTGTATTCCTTTTAACTGAAATAGTACAAGATTATTGTTGAACTGAGCCATGTAATTTACTAACTCTTTACTATTCTTTGGCATATCTTTTCCTTATAATTGTAATAATTTCATACTTGTCTGTTATGGGCTCTAAATTAGAAATAAAATGCTCTGTTCTGTTCTGTTCATTCAAATGTAATACAATCTTTATTTTGTTATAAGACAAAAGATGTACTCAAATACGATAAACCTTTGCTGAAATTTTAAGCTTAGCTTAAGCTTATTTTTCAATAAAAAACGCTTTGTCCACGTTTTAATCGGACAACCCTCTACCGTAGCTACTTGACATTTGCGATGAAGTTGCTGCGTGTAACTACAGATCGAATATTATCCACACGCATTAACCTTCACCGTACATTGAGGCGCATGCGTATTCACGCGCGCCATATTTAAGCCAAACTTCAGTGAGCGCCATGTAATATTTTCGTGGTGATAACTGTCAACAATGTATATAAAATCTATGGTTATTGATGGCTTTAAGTCATATGCACAGAGAACGGAGATAATTGGATTCGATCCACTTTTCAATGCAATAACAGGGTTGAATGGAAGTGGGAAATCCAACATTTTGGATTCCATTTGTTTTCTTTTGGGAATCACGAACTTGTCACATGTAAGTAGGGATGACTTGTGTTTTGATTAGTTGTTCTTCTTTAAAATATCTTTATCAGATATAGATAATCAACTGTTAATATTGGAAATTGTGTGTATTAGTAAAATAAAAGAACAAATCTTGAACAGGTACCCCCCCCTCCCCCACCTAATTGAGATTATTATTGTAGAATTTATTTTTAATATCATACAGGTCAGGGCAACAAATCTCCAAGAGCTTGTGTACAAAAATGGACAGGCGGGTGTCACAAAGGCAACTGTCAGCATCACATTTGACAATGCGGACAAGAAACAAAGTCCTCTAGGTTATGAACAGTATGATGAAATCACCATTACACGACAGGTCTGTTGAAATCATCATCATAAACACCTTCATTATATATACATGATATTATATATTGTAAATTGTATTTTAGAGAATACAGGGATTTATCAGCCTATTTTTTGAGAAACGCCATTTTTGGGGAATTGGGAAAAAATTATCGGCTATTTGTTGAAATTGGGAAAAATTAAAAATGTTGCTTAAATCATGTATTCAGGTGTAATTCATTTAACACTTCAGCATGAACTCTAATTTGGGCAATCAAACAGACAATTAAATATGATCCAACTAATTTATAGATCATGCAATTATGAATAATAAACTAATAAAAGTTAAATTGACTTCAATGAGTATAAAGTGTTTGTACAACTTAGAATAGTACATGTGTGCATGAGATTCCAATTTAGGTCATTACAGAATCTGTTTCTGGAGATTATAAACCTCCTGCAAAAAATTATACTAAGTACACATTTTCTCAAAGTCCTCTTTTAAAGGTGCTTGGACACCGATTTGAACTTAATATTTTCTCAAATTTTCTGTATAATTTCATGACTTATATGTTGCTATAGCATTTCATACTAAAATATAATAAAAATCTTATTTCATCTCGTAGTTATTGAAACTTCAAATTTCTGAACGCGTTTGATTGACACATCCTTGCACTTTCACAAATTTTAATTTTATTCTTAATACTTAAGAAAAGTGGTAATTTTGTTGTATATTAATGAAAAATATTAAAACTATAATCCAGAAAATTCAGAGTAGAAATGTTCGAAAGCAAAACCCAGTCACAGTATTGTCAGTCCGTGCTCAGTGGTGTGTGCAAACTTTAATAATTGAACAAACCCGGTGAATCGTAAACATTAACAATAACAGAGCTCGTGCCTGTTTACAAACAGGGTTGGCAAAAAACTGGGAAATACTCATATTTCCCAGGACAGTGGGAAATACTGGTAATTACCGGGAATTACTGGTATTTCCCGGGAAATACTGGGAAATAAGAAATAGCTACATATTTCATTCATATTGACATCTTATTGGCTAAGATATCTACCTGGTATCACTGTCCCTGATTTAAAAAAATTTCCAAGTAATTCATTTGTATAATTATAAAACAGTATATATATACCAGTCATTTGAGTGTCATTTGTTTGATGCTTTAGTCAGCTGTAGTCTATAAAGGTCCATGAAATTAACCCAAAGATCCCAATTGGGTTTTTTAAGTAAGTAAAAAAGGATCTAAGAAAATTCTTAATTGTAGAGTATGGTATAAATATCTTTCTTTCTTCATTATTGTTACTTTAAGCTTTGGAGCTTATCAGTCTGTACATGTACAATATGATACAAACAGATACAGTACAGAAATGGATAATAATGTAATATCAAACCTAAGAAGAAGCCTTTCAGTTCTACTCGAGGTAATTATCTCTCAAAACAGGAGCACAAAACTGCCCAGAGCAATTTGTTAAAACAACATGATTTATTGTAATAACTCCAGTGTTTATAGAAGGATTGAAATGAGTTTGTTTTGTTCTTGGATTTATAAATTAATAAACTTAATAATTTTACAAAACTGAAAAGAAAATTGACTTGGAAAACTTAAGTTTCACACAGCCAGGGAAATGTTTCGGAATGCTTATGGGTATGGGACCTGGAGTAGTGATACATTCTGAATATGTTAAATTGCAATTTGAGACATATTCAATATTACTCATCCTCTGTTTTTATGTTAATAATTTTTATTTTTGAATTTTGTATAAGATTGAATGAATTAAAGAAATAAAAATCTTTAACTTTGTATTTCCCAATATTTCCCAGTTAAGACAAAATTTGTAGTATTTCCCAGGACGGGAAATACCGGTATTTACCACTGGTAATTACCACCACTGGTATTTCCTGACCAACCCTGTTTACAAAAACAGTTTACATTTCACGGGTGTATTTAATTTGTTAAACTCTGTACATAACACTGAGCACGGGTTGACGATATTAGTGATGGGGTTTGCTTTCGCACATTTCTACTCTGAATTTTCTTGATTATAGATGTAATTTTTTTCATTAATACACAACAAAATCGCTTCTTTTCTTAAATGTTAAGGATAAAGATAAAATTTGTGAAAGTGCAAGGATGTGTTAATCAAACGCGTCCAGGAATTCGTAGTTCCAATAATTTCCAGATAAAATAAGTTTTTAATTATATTTTCGTGTGAAATGCTATTGCAATATATAAGTCGTGATATTATACAGAAAATTTGAGAAAATATTAACTTCAAATCTGTGTCTAAGCACCTTTAATATGTATTAATGCATTGAAAATATATTTTTCTATTTGAAATAATGCCTACAGTCCTTACCATTCACTCGTACATCAATTGAGTAGGTTGAAATAACTTAATAAATCTATATTATTACACAATATCACCATTTTCAGAAAAACGGAGGAAATTCGGATTAAAAGTTGGCGATGTTTTTACAGTGTTTTTAAACGTGTTATGACTGAAACTTTGCTAAATGAGTTAAATAGATGAAAATTACAGACAATCTGACAATTTTACTTTGTGTTCTTCCAAGATAAATAAATATAAAAGCATTGTTCACCAATTGGGAAAAAATACTGCCAAATTGGGAAAAAATTAACTCATTTTCGATTGGGAATGGGGCCGAATTTCGGCACCTGAGAAGGTACTGATAAATCCCTGGAATTATAAACAAGTGATGGTAAAAGCTCAAAATTCAGAACCGTGAAGGTGTTAGGGTGACCAGGGGTTTTCCTGGTTTGTTTTTGGGTCCGGTTACCGGACTCATTCCCAATCCAAAAATCAGCCATATTTTCCCAACTTTGAAT